TGTATGCAGGTTCAGGGATGACTCAGTGTCAACAGGGATGAGAGATGGCGAGCACAGGTGGGGACAGCTGTGGGAAACTCAATTTGACTGATGGATAGCTTCGGTACAGTGGTATGGCTGTAGGGGGCCAATGGGTGGGTGGTGGTACTGTTCAGTTCTAAGGTGGTGTCCCCGACGTGAGCTGGGGGAGCTCCCAGAACCAGGTCACTGGTTCCCTGTATTCCAGATCTAGGCTAGATTTGAGGGAAGGATGCCTTTGGGGGCTGGGATGTACTCTCCACTGTTCCACTCGCTGTGTGGGCTGGGAGCAAATGGGGCAGCAAAGGTCCCCAAGCTGCGATAAACCCAGGCAGTGCCTATCTGAGCACCCATGGGCCGGGCACTTGCTGGGCGGGCCTACAAGGACCGTGTCGTGACTCCAGGCAAGGTAACTCGTGGCAGGCCTGCAAGGGTCCGGTCTGTGTCTCCACTCCCTGTGGCTCTGGTCACAGAGGTGCAGGCCTGCAAGGCCCCGGTCCACAACTCAGATTCCCACAGCTCCTGGTGAGGCAGCACGAGGCTTGTGGCTGGGCTGCAAAGCCCCAGTCTGCTGCTTGGACTTTCCCCCACTCTGGTGGAGGCAGGGTTCTGCGCAGTTCGCTGGGCTAGGAGGCGCAGGGGTTGCCAGAGGCCACTGTGCTGGGAAAATGGTGGGTGGGAATTGCAGATGCCTCTCCCTGTGGATGGTGAGATGCCAGGGCTAAGATGAACTGAGGCACCCTGGAATTGGCGGGGGCTATGCCCAGTTGACAGGGCAGATGCTACTGTGTGTGGGGTGGAGGTGACCCAGGCATTGGTGCTGAGTGCACCCAGCCACAGACAATCAAACCTACTGTGGGTTAGGCCCTGGGGTCCTGGGTGGCTGCTGGGAGGGACCAGAGCTTGCAGGTGGAATTGCTGCCAGCCATGTGGAGGGAGACAGACACAGCTCCCCTAGATGGGAGCCATGAGTGAATAGCTGCTATGTGGTAGTCAGGTCTGGCCTTGGGGAGGTCTACACAAATAGCTGTCCTGTTCCTGGGGCAGACCAGACCAGGGGGTTGGCAGGGGGCACTGGCTGGTGGCGAGTGGCACAAGGGTTGCACAGCCATCAGGAAATCCCTGGTATATGGACCTAGATTTCTGGGGCTTGAAACAAAGCAGATGCGGGGCAGGGCCACCTCCTGGACAGGGAGGACCCCTTGTAGGGACCTTTCCACTCACCAGACCACTTCCACTTGACCTCCGACACCAGACTCACCGAAGCTCCCTGGGCTGCTTACCTTGGCACCATCTTGAAGCCTCTCCTACTCACAAGGTTTTAGGACCCCAGTCACTGTACTCCAAAGTAGAATGTTGACTATTGTCGTCATGATTTCTGTTATGTCATTGCCCCAAGACTGTGGTCCATAGCATCCAAGCGCCATGATTTATTTCCTCCAGGGCTTTGATTATGTCTAAAAAGTTTCTCTAACCTTGTCCCCATATACTCTACTGCATTCACAGCTATGTTTGCCGCATAGGTAAATATACAAGTAGAACACCCCTACACAACACAACCCACGCCCATCAAACCTGTATAGAACTGTAGGTATACTCCCACTCCCTCCCGTGCCTGTTCAGTCTGTGTCTCCCATGTAGCCACTCACCGATCACCACAGCAGAGTTGTGTGCAGAACAGAATTCACCTCTGTTGCCTTTAGCTCCTGCCTTTTTCTCAGTGCCATTCCCCGCTTCCATCAGTGTGTGCTGACTTCCCTCCCACTACATCGTGCCTTCCCTTCACCCAGGTTAATATGAGTCTGCCCGTAGTTAGTATTTTACCCTCCCTTCCCCTCCCTGGCAGCCATAGAAAAATATTCCTTGTAGTATGAAAACCTTTTGTTGACTTTATAATAGTAATCTCATAGCATTTGCCCTTTATGATCGAATCATCACTCAGCATGGTGTTCTCCAGGTCCATCATGTCATTTGAGAATTGTTTGGACTTGCTGTGGAATAAATTGGTCATCAAAGCTCATGGCCGTGGTACAGGACTGGGAAACATTGTATTCTTGCAAAACCAGCATGAGGGCTGTGTCTGATGGTGTCGGGCCACATCTCATCTGCTCTAACTTCTCAAGCCAGGAGGAGGGAAGTCAGCACCAGTCCCAGGCTGATTTCTGTAAAGCAGGATGTAGGATAACTCCTGTGTGTAACCCAGTATGGCGGCAGTCCCGCTAGGTTGCTGGAGAAGCTTCAGGGAATGTCCTGAAGTGGTCCTATCTTGAGGATATGCTGGGCTATGGCCAAGGCCTACTCCTAAAATATCAATAGGAACAGCCAGAATGGACCTCTCCTCATCCTGGGGGTGGGGGTTAGGGTGTGTGTGTGGGGTTAGGGTGTGACAACCTTTGACTGCAGCCTCTCTGTCTCCTTGTAGAAACCACCAGTTCCAATGAAGCCACATTGCAAAGTATGGCTCTGGTCATTCTTCCATCTCTTGGCCCTTAGTGCAAGAATAGTTTTGACCTCAGTGGGTATTGATTTCTCCAGACACAGGATCAGAAGTGTCTGTAACCTCCAACCCTCCATACCACTATCAGCTGTTCTCCCACAGTACTCTCGACTCCTCGGTTTCATAATTCACTGCAATGGCCTCACAGCACTCACAGGCCAGTCTCGCAATTATGGGCTTTTATTAGAGAAGTTAACAGGTTATAGTCAGGATCAGAAATGCCCAAGATAGTTCTTTCAGTCAGGACAGCCTCTTCTCTGCTGTGCCCAAAGGCATGGCTGGCTCTGGTCCTTTACCTCTCAACCTTTGGCTTATGCCATGCTGGGGCAATGTTACAAAGCTCTCTTACTGCTGCTAATAAATGACCCAAAGTCACCCCACTCCACCGTAAGCCTCATACTAAAAACACTCAGCTCTGCCTCCATGGGGCAGCAAACCTCTCCCCCCCAGTTAAATACCTGAAGGTACTCTAATCTGATAGCAAGCCTTCTGCCTGAAGACATTCCGCTTTTACGCCCTCCTTGGGCCAAGAAGCCCACAACTCTGACTTTTGGTTCTGCTGCTGCTCCTCTGCTGTTTCTCTGGTGTCACAGCTTTCTGTCCCTTGAGTGAGAAGTTTGATTTGTAGGGATCTCAGGGTCCAAAAGATGTGCTCCACACCTGCTGGTACTCCACTTGATGGTTTTGAGAGCCATTTTTCTGCTGTTGAGATGATTGGATTCATATCCAGGAAGTTGGCAAAATTGATCAAACTCAATGTTAAATGTTGTCATTATCATTAACCCTTTAACAGTCACTCACACATGAATCATATAATCCTATCAGCCTCTTCCCCCATCTGCTCTTACTCAGACCATCAGGAAAAAGTTACTTGGTGGGAATTACAAAGACTCAGGCTAGAAGAGTCATGTCACACACTTTACTGCCCCACAGGTCTGACTCAATGAATCAAAGCAGACCTCACAGCAACTAACCCCCACCACCAGGGAGGAAGAGATGGAGGGCTAGTGTGTATGTCAATGTAGAGATGTATGTGTGTATACATGTATGCCAAGGCACACACATGCACTTATGGTTGTATGTATGTACATGAGAGAGCTATCCATATGGAGGTGAAGTGCACCATGGGTACATTGAACACTCAATACCATGTTGCTGGTTTTTTCCCTGTTTGTTTGAAATCAAATTGTATGTTACAAAAGAATCAAAGTCTTTCAGTTTTACTTTTTATCTTTTTATAGCCCTCAGAGCAATGTTCAGCTCTGATGGGTAAGGAGTCTGGAGGGGTTTTAAGGCTGTGGTCCTCTCTCTCTCTCTCTCTCTCCCAATATTTATATGTAAACTTTATCTACTTTTTGTATATATATTTTCTCTTTTGTGGAACAGCAGGCATACCAAGAAAACACATTCTCTGCAGTTGCACAGCCCTCCTCTTCAAATCAGCAATGGAATCCCATGAACCAATCCAGATATGTGGGTGTTTTCCTCCTTTTCCTGCATCCCGCTGGATTTCCTGCCTGGAGACGGCCTGCAGCTTGCTTCTCTCTGTCATGTTCAGCCCTTCAGCAACTATGGGAGAGAATCTCATCTGTACGGCTGTCACTGTCCCCAGTGCTGAGCCCCTATTACAGCTGCTCCTGTTTTAATCCTAAATCAGTCTCAGTGGACAATAACTTGTTCAAGTGTCTCCACCCCCCTGAGTGTCTTAATTATGGGATCAAAGTAGCACCCACTGAACATCAGCATTCCATAGTTGCTGGGGCACCCAGAGAACACAACCAGACAACCGAGAAAGCCTGGGGGCATAGAGCAAGATCTCCTCACCATGGGGGGCCTGGTGCTGAGGGACCTGCCTGTGACTGAAGTGTCTTGTGCAACATGAAATGCAGGCTCACCCCACAGGTTGAGTGAGAGGAGTGTGTTACTGATGTGGACAGGACTCTACACATGGTGGTTTTCCTGGTCATCACTCCTAATGGCACCTAATGACTACCTACTGCCTCTCAGGCCTGCCTGCAGGACGCTGGGCTGGACTGAGGATTTGGGTCTTCAGATGAGACCCTCGGCTCTCGGCCTCCGTGCTGCTGGGGCTGCCTGGGCCTGTCAGAGAGGTCCTCGCTGCATCCTCACTGACCTCGCTCTGTCCTCTCTGTCTCAGGACACAGCGTGGACCCTGGCCTGGCTGGTCTGCTGGGGCGCCAGGCACCTGGTCCAAAACAGCCTTTTGTGGTCACTTTCTTCCGACCCAGCCCGAGTCCCAGCCGCACCTCTCGGGCGGTGAGGCCACTGAAGAGGCGGCCACCGAAGAGAACCAACGAGCTGCCACAGCCCAACAGGCTCCCGGGGGTCTTCGGTGAGGCCCCAGCCCTTCTCCTCCAGAGGCTGTGCAGGGACCTGGGGTGGGACAGAACCCTCCGGACTCCGCCTCCTTCCAGCCTGGTCTCCTGGTCCTAGCCTTTGTCCTGCACGTGATGCAGTCCCGCCCCCCGCCCCCATCTCAGGTGCTGAGCCTCAGCCCCCACCCCCTTCCACCTGGGAGCCCTCACCTGGCTTCTTGGGACCGGGCAGGAGCCATACTTTGTATGAAGGCCACCCCACGGGGTGAGCCCCTGAGGGTCGTAGACAGGCCTGACCTCCATGTCCTCCATCATCGGGCTCAGGGTTGCTGTTTGGTTGGTGACAGGGGTGGGGGGCAGGCTGGGCAGGGGTCCTCTCTCGGCTTTATGAGGCCATTGGTTCACCCAGTGTGTCTGCCATCGGGGCGCCCCTCCCTGGAGCCCCTTGCAGTAGCTGCTCC